GGTCTTAAAGGTACACCTTGTTTGTGGATTTTAGGTAAACCATACAGACTAGGTGTGGCCTCCCCTGGGTACAGTCTGTGGTACAGAATACGGTCAATAGCCTTGTCCTGCTCCAAATTTTTCAGGCAATCTATTAACTACTTCTTGTAACCACTTCCTGGATCTCTTTTCAGAGGTTCATAAGTGTTTAAGTCACTAAGGAGTGTCATAACTTTCTCATGATAGTCTTTCTGGTTCAAAATCACTGTGCACCTTCCTTTGTCTGCTGGGAGAATGATGATGTCATTCTCAAATCAGCATCATTTAATTCTGCCTCTAGACCTGGGGAAAGAAAAAGACAAAGCTGAGAAACCACCACAACAAACAACATATGCATATATAATGATGCTTACAATATCATTGGAAAGTATTTTATACGGTACATGGTAATACAAGATGTATTTAGTGGCCACCACAACCCAACTGAGTGTGTATCTGATAAACACCTGAATCTAAACACCTGTGTGAGCATGCTTGACACTATAAGGTTTCTCCATAAGAATGTTCAAGAGAGGGTGTGGGGACCCAAAGACCTGTCCCCATAAGACACGATGGCAACACAGGGAAGACTGGAGCCACAGACACACAGCAGCCTCCAAGCCCAGAGTCCCGGGAGTACCCCAACAGGGACAACCGCACCCCCCAGAGAGAAACAGAGGGAAGCCCCGGGCGACCCCCAGCAGCCACAATGCAGAAGCCCCAGGAAGCTGCAGCGACAAGCCCACAGGCCCTGCCGGCAACCCGCTACTCCAGAGCAGATCCGGTCATGGACACAGAGTCCCAAGGTTATACCACCCCCCAACAGAGGCCCGACAGAGCCAGGGCACCCAGGCCCCAGCAGGCATCCACCAGGGTGGGCGGGTACACACCCAAACACCCAGCCCTACATGCCGAGAGCCACCAACGCATCGGCGGCAGAGGGACCCACCACCGAAGGGGAGTTTGAAAGGGGGGAATTAGACCCCACATTAAATAGGGGCCCCAAAATAATCCAAGACAAGGGACCACCCAAAACCCAACCTGAGACATAAACAGGCACACACAAACAGCCCGACAGAGCCTCTGTCAGGCCATCCATGCGCCCCACCCACCCGGCAGCGACCGCAAGCCGGCCCCAGGCCGGGGGCCAGAGCAGCAGGGAGAAGCAGCTGAGGACCAGGCACACAAACAACCTCACACCACAGTCTCGGAGAAGCCCCGGCACGCCACCTACGCACCTCCCCATACACACAGCACACAGCCCCCCCCCATCCCCTGCCCCCCACTGCTAATGTCACACCAGGCTGACCAGCCAGTGCCCTGTCAAAGCGAATCCACGCCCCCGATCGCTGCCATACACCACCAATGACCATATACACAACCACAGCTGACCCCCTGCCGGAACCCGGCAGCCACCCCGGTCAGACGGCCGGACATTGCAACCAGGAACCTTGATCTACAAAATCTGAACAACCCAGGGAGAACTGGACCACTGGCCCTGCCCTCAACCACCCCCCAAGGCCCAAAGCCCACTCACAGCCCAGACCCCAACCAGGCAGCCTACACCCCCTCCCTGCCCCTGACCCCAAATGTCAAACAGAGAACAGGGGTGTAACAAAAAAATATATATATATACTGTAAATAAATAACAAGACCCCACTCCTCCCTCCTCCCACTCAAATAAGGTGCTGATGCATGTTGTTATATAATGCGTTTAAAATGGGGGGGGGGGGTAAGGTGGCGACTGGCACAGAACCCCCCCCCCCCCCCCCCCCCAGAAACCAGGCGGGCCCCTTCCCCCCCCCCCCCCCCAACCCTTGCTCAGAACCCTAAATGTCTGCATGCTACATCTGTGACTACTGTAAACATGTTTACATCTGTGACTCTAATGTAAACAACATGAGTGTATCTGACTCTTTTGTTAACAACATGGCTACATCTGTGATTACTGTAAACAATGTGACTACAAATGTGACTCTACTGTAAACAACAGGTTTACATTTGCGACTCTATTGTAAACAAAATGTTTACATCTGTGACTGTAGTGTAAACAAGATGACTACATTTGTGACACTCCTGTAAACAACATGACTACACCAGTGACTCTACTGTAAACATGTTTACATCTGTGACTCTACTGTTAACAACATGGCTACATCTGTGATTACTGTAAACAATGTGACTACATATGTGACTCTACTGTAAACAACATTTTTACATCTGTGACTGTACTGTAAACAACATGATTGTATCTGCTACTCTACTGTAAAAAAACATGACTACATCTTTGGCTCAACTGTAAACATGACTACATCTGTGATTACTGTAAACAACATTACTACATTAGAGACTATTGTAAATGACATGTTTACATCTGTGACAACTGTTAAAACATGTTTATTAATAATAATAATAATAATAATCATTTTATTTAAAAAGCGCCTTTCATGACACCCAAGGACACTTTTCATCTTTTACGCTACTTTAAACAACCTGACCATATCTGTGACAACTGTAAACAATATGACTGTGTATGCAACTCTACTGTAAATAACATGTTTACATTTGCGATTCTACTGTAAAGAACATGTTTACATCTGTGATTCTGCTGTAAACAACATTCAAGGATTCAAGGTTCTTTGTCATTCGCATCACATGTGGCACATGAGGTGAGGTGCAATGAAACTATGTATACAGGGTCCCAGTTACATCCAACAAAAATACAAATTGTAAAGAAAAACACTAGTAAGATCCAAGACATGAACTAAGAAATATGCTAAACTAAGAATACACCAAACTAAGAATACACTAAGCACTAATAGTACAAAACAATGAGCATGCATCAGGATAGTACAAAACAATGCGCCAAACAACAGCAGCACGAACATGAGTCTGTGTGAGCAGATGAGGACGAATGAAACATGTTTACATCTGTGAGTCTACTGTAAACAACATGTTTACATTTTGTAGTTCTATTGTAAACAACATGTTTACATCTGTGAGTCTACTGTAAACAACATGTTTACATTTTGTAGTTCTATTGTAAACAACATGTTTACATCTTCAGTTCCAGGAACCCATCATAATCTGAAAGCGTGTAAAACATTTACAAAACCTATTTTTATTTTACAGAAAAGAGCTGTAAGAATCATCACCAGAAAGCATTACAGTCACCCATCAAGCACATTATTTTATCAACTGAACTTATTGAAATTCCATGATTTAGTAGATTACAGTATTTTATCAGTTATGTATAGGGCTCAAAATAACACATTACCATTAAATATCCAAAGAAATTTTGTTAAAAGACAAAGTTGTTACAATCTTAAGGGGATAGAGATATTTGTCAAACCAAAATTCAGAACTAGTCTGAAGGGAAGGTCTACCTCAATCCAAGGAGTTGGATTGTGGAATGTTCTAGAGAGTGATGTGAAAAATGTCAAGTCAATGTGTACATTTAAGAAAAAGATCAAAGCTGGACTGTTAAAAAAGTATATATGAAGTAGCTTAGTGTGTGTTTTGTATTAGAATTAGAAAAATTAAAAAGTTATTCATTTTGTTCTGTTACTTGAAAATTATTATGATTGAAATAATTGTTTGAAGAAAGGTGCAGATATAATAAGATTTTTTTCTTCTTTCTGCTGCCTTTCATTTGAAATCTCTTGTATCTTTTTATATTGTTATGGAATTGTTTTGTACTTTTTAAAAATGAATAAACTTTATACCATACCATACCATAATCTCAGAGGTGACGGGGCTTTCTCTGTTGCAGGTCCACGACTGTGGAATGAGTTACCACTGCTTGTCAGGCAGGCCCCTTCCCTCATTGGTTTTAAGTCTCGCTTAAAATCCCACCTTTATTCCCTGGCTTTTAACACTGTGCGATCTGTTTTGAACCTGTCTGTATTCTACAGTGTTAGCCATTTAGTTATTATCGTATTATTATTCGTGTCTATATTTTTTATTTTACTTTAATTTATGTTTGCTATGTGCGTTGCTTGTTTGTTTTTTATTGTACAGCACTTTGGTTGGCCTTGTTGCTGTTTTAAGCTCTCAAGAAATAAAGTGGTATGGTATCGTATCTGTTACTCTACTGCAAACAACATGACTACATCTGTGACTCTACTGTAAGGCAGCACGGTGGCGCAACTGGTAGAGCTGCTGCCTCTCAGCAAGAAGGTTGCCGGTTCAAATCTTGGTCTGGGGGCCTTCCTGGGTGGAGTTTACATGTTCTCTCCGTGCATGCGTGGGTTTTCTCCAGGTACTCCAGTTTCCTCCCACAGACCAAAAACATGCATGTTATACTGACTGGTGACTCTGAATTGTCTCTAGGTGAGAGAGTGAATGGTTGTTTGTCTCGTTTGTCTCATGCCCCTTTTGCACCGCCCCTAATAAGCCCCAACTCTGCTCAGCCCGCCACAGAAAGAACCCTTTTGCACCATCCCTTTAGCTAGTATTTTTAGCTGATTTGAGGCTGATTCAGGACCTCTTTTCATTCCTGCTTCTCTGGTGGGACCGAGCAAGCTCAGCTGAGCTGAGTCCGGACCGAAACGTGAATGCAGGACTCTGATTGGTCAGGGGGAGGAGTCACTGGATCTCAGAAACTTTTCACTGAACTGCCATTTGCAATTTATCTGGATGCGGAGCAGCGGCTGGATCTATTTATAACAATAATGACAACGCTGTGTTTAATGTTGAAGTCCAGGTGTACTTTGTGTTTGGTGACCGACTATAAAATTCGAGCGAGCGATGTCACCGTGGAGGATCATACGAGCTGCCGAGCCGTTGAAGCCCACGAGGCCGAACCCCAAGCCCCGGCCTCACCTGCTCACGAAGGCCGGATTCGAGCCCTGGTAGGCGGGAGGACCGGGATGGAGGGACGGGGGGTGGGGGAAACGTTTTTTTTTATATTTTATGTATAAAATATATATATATTTTTTTTATCAGTGAAGATTAAAAATAAATAAACACTGCCGGCTTTATCGTGAAATCCTGTTTTCCCTTTGACTTTATTAAATAATCTGTTAATTAAAAGTTCATTCAACTGAAAAATTATAAAAAGACAAAATGATTGGATCTCAGGAATATTTCCCTCAAACATGTTTAAAGAAGAGACACAGCCTTTAGTTCAACTTTATTCTAACCCACAGATGTACAAATCACAAAACAAGCATTACACTTTAAATTAAAGTTTTAAATCAAAGCTAAACTTTAATTCAAAGCTAAAAATAATTTATATACAAGAAAAAATAATCTGTATACAAGAAACAAAACCACAATGAGTGCAAATACCTCAAATGATGAAGAAAAATATAGAATTTTAAATATAGATATCCTGATGCTTTTCAGGTAGAAAAATCTAAAAAAGTTAAATCTGGTCCTCTGGACGTTCAAAAATGTCAGGGTTTGGTGGACAGGAACGAACCCAGTAGTGCAGACAGGACTCAACTCGGCAGATTAAAAAACTAAATACTTTAATGACGAAATAAAAGGTAACAAAACAATAAGCTGACGTGGCAGCAAAACTTACATGAACTAGAAGACTCAGGGGGAAACTCAAAAAGGACTCAGGAAGCTCAGGGAAGACTCAGGAGACGCAGGAAAACACTGAAGACCCAACGAATACGACGCGACCACGAACAAGACAGAACAGACAGCTTATATACAAGGACAAAACGAGACGTGATTACCAACAGCTGTGACGTGACAAGGGTGACACCAATTAAACTGAAGAGGAAACACTAGGGAAACACAGACACAAACGGAGCCAGTAAATGGTACCATCCTTACAGTACCCCCCCTCAAG